CCCACACACACACACCCACACACACACACACCCACCCACACACACACACCCACCCACACACACACCTACACACACACACACACCCACCCACACACACACACACACACCCACCCACACACACACACCTACACATACACACACACACACACACGCACCCACACACCCACACACCCACACACACACACACACATACACACATACACACATACACACACACCCACCCATACAGACACACACACACACACACACTCTTGCAGGAGAGCTGGACCTTGACAGCTTCCACAAAGCCCTCCAGCAGCCTGCGATTTTGGAGCGCCTCGTTTAAAGCATTTGGACCGGTATGTTCTACTCGAGGTTGAAGGAGGGAAGGGCGGCGGCAACAGTCTGGCCGGCTGCCTGTCAGTGAGTCATATCTGTTGTTGCCTTTGCCCCTGTAGTCTTCAGGAAGGTTGCAGTGGCAAGCCAGCTGGCACCGGAATTCTTCACCAAACTTTCGAAGCAAGACATCCGGGCGGCCTGGAAGCAGAATTTCAGGATTGTTCCGTGCGTTGCATTACAAGCGCGAGTGTTCCAGGACATGTTCGCCCGCATGGACACTGATTGCTCCGGTGGCATATCCTTCAACGAGTGGGTGGCAGCGATTGCAGCATGCCGAGAAGAAGGAAGACTCCACAAGCGCATGATGGTGCAATTTACACGTGTGGCATGCATGTCTTCCAGCATGTCCAAATGCATGCATGGATGTCTGTGCTCATGTATGTACGGTAATGTGTGGTTGTGTTCAGACCTGTGCAGTCCCATGCTGTGCTGATCTTTTGTTGTGCTCGGCTGTGTACTGCACATCACTGAACTGCACCGTGGTGGCATGTACTGTACTGTACTGAAATGTAATGTATTGTTTGTATGTATGCACGCTTGCAAAGCGTTTCTTGTATGTATATTAGAAGTGCTTGACTGCTATGATGAACCTTGTGTGTGTGCAGATGCGCCCGAGGAGATAAGCTTCGAGTCTTTTTGCATGTCTGTAGAACTTCGGCTTTGCACATGATGTGCTGTTTCGACAATGCTGGTTGAGGTAAACACCCGCCAGGCCCTTCGGAATGCAGCTGGCCTTGCTCGCTATGTTTTGACAAGACATGATGAGCAGTTTCCTGTTAGGAAGTTTACATGACGGAGAAGCTGGAGCAGGAGACTGCAATTGCAGCAGTGCCGAGCTTACCCAGGGCGCTGGCTCCATCCAACCAGCATGTGTACCGGTTCAGTTTGCTGGAAGAGGCGGTTGCCTCGCGAGCTCCGAAGACATGCCGGGCTTTGTGTTGTTTCCAAGTCTCCAGTGCAGGTGATGGGCGATGCAGCGGCTGCCATGGATGAGGTGCTCGAGGAAAAGTCGGTTTCGCATGGATGATGTCGCTTCTGCAGTCCGTGGCAGTCTGCCCACGCTAGGACTGGACAGGGGAGTTCGAGCTCCAGAGGCTTTGGACTTTTGGCACAAGCGCTTGAAAACATCGTAGATTGCGTGGTCTGACAGGTTTATCTCCGCCTTCCAGACCAACAGCGCTTTTTTGCAGAAAGTCTCCCATGCAACAGGCCCATTGCAGGGACTGCAGGGACAACTGGGACAACTGGCACAGCCGCTTTTCGGAGACTCTTTTTGATGCGCCTCACCGGAGACATACTTAAGCCTCAGCGAGGCTTGCCTGTCGAAGAATACCAGCGACTGCAGGCAGCGGCTTTTGCGAATCTGATGCCCCATGAACTTTCGCCCCATTGTGAAACTTGGAAGCGAGGCTAGTGATCTCAAAGATCTCTTCGATGCTTTGGACATGGACTTCTCCGGGACTGTGCCCGTGATGCAGAAAGCGGCTACCGATCGTGCAAAGGTAACGCAGAATCTTCAAGCATACAAGATCATCGCCGGAGGTTTCCTTCAGCGAGTTCGTAGAAGGCACGCTGCCTGCAAGGGCGAAGGGGGACTGTCCTTGCATCCTCAGCTGGCACAGCGCACGGCGCATGCGGCGTGTGCCACGGACCCTCAAGTGGCAGGACTGGCGGCCATCCGAAGGGCTCACGAGGCCGGGTGGGGGGCGGGGTCCCAAGCTCTGCAAAAGCCCCGAGCTCCCAGGCTGCGATTCTGGAAGAGGTGCCCAGCCCTACAGCGTCTCGCAAGGTGGTCAAGGACCGCAGATGTCGCGCTTCGGTGCTTCCAACAATGGAAACAAAGAGCAGATGCCAGGATGCCATGGTCCAGGGTGCCCCGGAAGGGATGGATATCATTACGCCCACTGGCCTCAGGCAGCTGCTTGGCAGCTGAGCAATCTGGAAGCAGAGGTAAGAGGCCTGCGTCGCAGCAACGACAGAAAAGGTGTCCATATCTCGGCACCGGGATATTCGAGCGAGCTCACAGCTTTAGCGCGCATGTAAAAGGGGTTGCTATGAACTACGAGACATCTGCATCTTCTGTCTGATCACCCGTTGTCAAAGGTTGATGTGTCTTCTAGATGCTGACCGGTGGACTCCTGCCAAGCTCGACAAGCTCATTGCGGGCCTGCCGTGGACGAACGGAACCCTTCCGCTAAGTGTTTCGAAGCAATCAACATGACTGTGTCAGTGTCGCGTTCGCAATGGGTTGGTGCCTTCTTTCTGGAGACACTGAGGCAAACTGGTGGACTTGCTGTGCCTAGCCCGCAACTGGGCCTCTGCCACAGCAGACAGGTCACTCCCGTACTGTGCCTCTTGTTCTTCACATCTGCGCCTGCCCTCCGGTTCTCCGACCTTAGAGAGGAACATCTCGAACAACCTTCAGTCAACCAACGGAGGCAGTGAAAAGGGGACCCTTTCATTGTACCTTGTACCATGCATGGCGTTGGCCACGGACGAGTTGGATCGGGTCGCAGTCACATTCTGTCAAGTGCGAAGGGGAATGTAAGATGTTCCGCAAACTGCCAGCGATGATTAAATGTTGTTTCTTATTCTTTGCATATTCAGTTTCCTAGCCTGATGGACTTCGGATGCACTGTGTACCCAAGTCACATCAAACTCCAAGAAATGGCAGTAGCGGCCTTTCCCGGACCCGACCACGGATTGGGGACGTAGCAATCAAACAAGGAGGCATGGCAAGACTAAAGTGCTTGGAACGGCTGCCATCTTCACATGACCGACCATTAACATCCTGGTTCCCGAGGTATTGATGCGATTAATGCGGCCGTCCAGTGACGCCGTGTTGCAGAATGTAGCACCCTGTCCACCCTAGCAGAGCACAGTGCTGTGCCGAATGACATGTTCTATCGGTTTCTATTGCAAGATAAGGCTGAGTAATTCCTATGTTGACGAGGCTGACATCTTTAGGTTATGCCAGATGCTCATGCCGTAGGCATGCGCCTCTGATAGCAGCCTGGCCGTATGCGCAATGCATCCGGCTGGGGGCATGTCTGCCGAAGGCGACTGCTTCAGGCTGGACGATGTTGAAGTGGCGTACTTCCGTCGAAGAGTCGTTCCTTAATGACGTTGCATGTAGCCACGGCCGGATGTATGCCGTGGAAAGTTAGAAGCCGGGAGTACATGAGGTGTACAAGAGAGCCGACACACTGGGCGCTGGCGAGTCGTCGCCCGAGAGTTTTAATTTAAACTGGTCCGATCTGAAAGCAAGTCTGAGTCTGAGTTTGATTGAGGCCGTACACGTATGGTTTACCGCCAGACTATGCTCCATCCTCAGCTCACTGTAGCAAACTGTCATTCTCTGAATGCACCAGACCACACCTTGAAATTTGGAGCTCAGGTACGAATTGCGATGGCCGTGGCAGTAATGGCGTTTGCTGCGCAGATGGCAGTCCTGGCTGATTGGCTCCTCGAGATTTCCATACATGAGCCCATGGAAACGCTGGAACGGCGCAGGTTTCATATACAGGCCGCGAATGGGCCATTCACAAGCAGGCCTGGTCTGGTACCTGCCGCTTCCAGAGCCCTTTTTGCTGACTGTTGAGCCCAGGCAGGCCGTCCGATACGGAGGGCCTCCACCTCGGCTTCCGTAGTGTGGCGACTTCAAAACTAGCTGTCAATTAAGGTTCCATCCTTCTGGAACAACATCTTCAATGTTGCCATGTGACCGGCTGAGTGTCCTTTTGCAGGAGTCGCGTCATCTGTGCATTTCGCATTGAGCTGCTTCGATGTGAATCCTCAGGCTGTGCATGTACTTGGCAGTGGCAGTTGTCATCGCGGGCCTTATCCAGATGCCGCATGCCCAAGTGTGCCTGAGTCCTGCATGCTTCCGCTGCAGAGACTGTCGAGGCAGCAGCCCTCACAGCTGCAGGACCTCTACGGTGCCCCGCCTTCGATTCTCTTTAGACTCAAGTTAGCTTATCTGCAGCAGCCAGGTTCCCTGCCGCTCTCGTCTGGCACCTTCTGCTCCAACTCCCTACTCGTCTTATATTTTGCGGTGTGAACCCGACATGCTTGCGATGCGGATGCAGTCGCCTGCTTTGCCAACTAGCCGCCCGTTCTCTGCCAGGTATGCTGGCCTCCAGATTGTGAGAACCTGAGCTTGCCGGGTTTTCTGCTGCAGATTGTGAAGCCTGATTCGTGATCAGTCTGCGTGACTGCTGTGCACAAAGCTAGATGAACAGCATTTCATTGTTGTGTGCAGCGGTTGGAAGGAAAACAGCCCCTTTTGGCTACTCTTTGGTACGACCTCAATGACTCAGCTCGGCAGCATGGAGAGCACTCCATGATCCGCCCTTGTAAGATGGCCTCTCTACCTCAGCCTCCCTCTAACTGGGCAGTTGGGAGAATCATGTCTGAGACCATCTAGATAATAATTAGCTGGATGCGACATCGAAATGCATGTACAAGCATTGTCTGAAGAGTGGCGATGTGACATGACGAGCGAAGACAACAGACTTGATGACACAAGCAGCTCGACGATCCGTCATGCCGAGCTCGAGCGAATAAGCCTTTCTTGAAGCGAAGCTGCATTTCTTGTCACCTCATGCCAATCTTCGGTGATCTTTGGTGATTAGGGAAACACATTGTTGGCAGCTCTCTGTTTGCTGTCTCAACGGCGAGGGCTGCTGCGCTTGGGTTCGGGGCTTGCCAGAGGGAGAAGGGCATGAGATTCAAGTTTTAGGAATCAGCAGACACGCCGTCGATGCAGATCGATAGCTGCTACATGCTGCTGCTATTCGGTTGGGAGCACAAGGCACCTCGATTCCTTGCAGCACTCCCTACCATTCTAGCTCAGCTGCGGTCGATGCTTTTGACTTCGTAGACGAACTATTCTGATGAATCCAGTGTAGGTCTGTTTGCGAGCGACACCTGCCATGCTACATGTCGTTGCCACGAGGCCAAGACTATGGATGTCGACTTCCGAGAAAGAGGCAGGGCAGATTCAGCAGTTTTTTCAGGGAGTTGTCGGAGTCGTGTTGCATTTTCAAAGCTGTTGCCACAAGCCGCAAGGGACGTACCCCGAGTCGCTTACCGATCCTTCAAGGCTCTTGGTTGTTTTGCGGGTCTGAAATCGAATCCTTCAGTCCCGTGCAGACGTGACAGGTACATCATTGAGGTCCTGAAAATGACTGCTTCAGAGGTGCAGGTTGCACCCATGCCTGTGCCTTAATCGGCTAAGGGATCGGGACTGACGAAGCCTCTCTGCTCGAAACCTTCGCAATTCACGGCCACGCAGCTTCGAGTTGCTCAAGCTTGATCCATCTGACTCGAAGTCTGGGAGCCCAGAACCTGCGCACTTCGACACTTGCTGCGAGAGAGACAAGCTCTAAGCCACAGCTGACAACCCAGAACAAACAGACAACGCATGCAGCTAGAGCAGCACGTGTTCAGCAAATTTCGCGACAGCGTAACTTGTTGCTGTTTGTGACTCGATTGGAGACGCCCAAAAACGACGAGGAAAGAGCGACCACACCGGCCTACAATGGTCAGTAGCCAGTGATCCCCCCGCTTTTTGATGGAGCAGCGCGAGTCCGACCTGGCAGTCGTCTGCCGCCTGGCGCATGAGCACCTTCTGGCGGATGGCCCGGCGGGCCGCAACGATGTGCTCAGGCCGAAGGGCGGGCCTCTTGTCTTGGGCGGATCACGAGCAGTAGAGTTCCTCGTCCTGCCTGCCTGCTTGCTCTGCCATTTTCTGTCTGTTCAGGCGGCTGCCACGTGATTTTCGCGGCGGTGCTAATGAGATCGTGAAAGAGGCCCTGAGAGTTTCCGAACATCTTTTGCCTATGCCTTGAGTCCTTGTTGTGCCGTGCCTCTGGTTGCACTGTCCAGAAGTTTGCGTCAGGACATTCACACCAGCATCGAGGTCCCACCACTTCTGTCCTCAAGCGGTGCGGCAACTTGTCATGCAACAGCATGCAAAGTTCATAACTCCTGCTTTTGCAAAGCACAGCGATGTTGCCGAGACCTTGTCCATCATCTTCCGAAAGTTGCTGCCTTACTGTGCTTCATGGTCTCCTCCTCAAAGTTGAAGCATGGGCGGCTGAGGCTGATCACGTACCAGACCCAACAAGGCCATCACCAGGCGCCAGGGCGCCTCAAGCGATTGACGAGCTTCAGCACGGGGGAAGCCAACAACTGCGACAACTTCCACGCGAAGAGAGTTGTCTGCGAGCTGCTGCACCTGGGAAGAAAGAGTTGGCCCAGGGCAATTTTTTTGGTTTGATCTTGGTGCTGAGACTGTGCTATTTCGCTGCAGTGTGGGCTGAGGAAAGCCTGGGCTTGTTGTAGCCAGGGCGCGGTCAGTGATGAGGGCATAGATGCACAGGAGGTGGATCCATACTTGAATTATCTACGACATGTGATGTACTACCATGACCGATGGTCTTCAAAGCTCTGGGGCTCTGACGCCTTCCTGGAGACTATTGTCCATGTCATCCGCAAGCTGGAGGCATTAAAACGAGACACCTCCGACACGAGACAGAAGTACTTGAAAGTTCTGGAGCAGATACACGACCACACCAGTGAGCTTGCAGAGCATGCCCTGAGAGTGACACTGCTCGCCAACACTGAGCATCACAGCGAGTTTGAGGCCTTGGTCGCCAAAGAGGGCGCGCTGACTCTGAAATCGCTAAGCCAAACCTTGGTGAGACACAGCACGAGCTTCTGGTGCACGGACTTCGGCCAGGTCTTGTACTCTGCCTTGGTCCGAGCCGACCCACAGCGCTTCAAGCCAGTAGGTGTGGGAGTTGAAGCGGCTGCCCGGACTTGGAGTCTCTGGACAGACGAGTTGGGGACCATAAAGACATACGAGTACAGCTCTCCCGAGGAGGCGAGGCTCGTCCTGGAGCAGTGCCGCTGCTGTACCATCCTCGTGGGTCCGGAGGGCAAGATCCAGGAGAAAAGCTTCGCGTCCAGCACCAGCCAAGTGCTTTCCAAGGCTTCGCGGCAGCCACTGGCTTCGTCAAGCGTCTTGCTGTGCACAGCGATGCGCACGTATGCACAGCCGCACCTCCACGCACGCGCACGCGCGAGCACAACACGCACGGTCGCGCACCCCCACATGCACAGAGATGATTCGACAGGTCCTCCAGGAAGGCAGCACCATGCGAGAGCTCAATCGCAGCTCGGCTCGTGCAGCAGGAGCATATTTGTTTCGAAGCTTAAGCCGTCCAAGGCAGGGTGGACCAGAACATCGGTTTGCAGCAAGCAGCTTTGGGAGTTGCGCCGCCGACACAGGCCCGTTTCAGAATGCTGCGTAAGCAGACTCAGAGCAAGCTGCAGCAGTGCAGCGACATGCTCAGAGATAGTTGCTGTGCTTGTAGCAGCGTAGCACTTGACGCGGGCCGCGGGGCTCCATCCGGAACGGTCACGGGCGATGTTTGCACGCCAGCACGTAGTGACGCAGTGTTTCACCTGTGTGGAGGTGACAGCCATAGAAGATTTTCTGGGTGACGGTGAAGCTGCAGCCGATGCAGACGCAGAAAAGCCTGACTTCTGGTGTCTTGGCAGCGTGCATCAAGCGTTTCGGGAATCTCCGTGCTGTGTCTCTTCACACGTTTCCGTTAGTGCTAGGAGTATTTCCAAGCTCAGGTATGAAGCCGTGGAGAAGGCCGCGGGCCATGTGGGTTCAAAGCTGCTCGGCACACTGCCTTGCAGCTTTCTTGCTACGACCACTGGAGGTGCGGGATGCATGGATGCAAGGCAATGCCGATCAAGCAGGAATCGCGGAACCATTTCGCGGCTGCAAGAAGGCGCCAATGTGGTCTCTCTTTGAGTTACGCACTCGGTGCCAGCGACATCCCAGGTCAAATGGATCGAGGGTGTCTTCGAAAAGGAATCCAGGTCCTCGAATTTTCCAACGATCATCCTCGAGTCTTGGCACATCGAGGTTCATTTTCGACAGTCCAGCAGACTGACAGCCGCAGACACTTCAGGATCTTCCCAAGACACTGTCAGATCTGCTGTGCTGCTTCAAGCAGGCGGGCCTACCGTGCCTTGCCATGTCTGATTGCATACATTGCTTTGTGCCTGGATGCTTTGCAGGTGATGACCGCAGTGCGCTCCATGATCAGCGAAGGCGTGAGCTTGAATTCGTCATATTCATGAGCGCATGCTGTCCACGTGGTATCATCATTGCTCTCCCCACACCATAGGCTTGGATCATCTGGGATCTGTGCAGCCCACTGCATCGCAGGTGGCAGTAAGGAGGCATTGGCCGCTATTTATGCATTGCGACAGCGCAGCACCATCACCGGGCAGCTGGATGTGGCTTGGCCTTGTCCTCTTTCTCCTTGCACTTCATTCTTTTACGCCTCTGGCCTTCTCTATCTCTCTCTCTCTCTCTCTCTCTCTGTCGCTGACTTTCTTGCTCTCTGCTTTCATCACAGCTGGACGGTGCCAAGAGGTACTCAGCAAGTACCTTCTGATAAGGCATGCATGCAAAAGTTCCTTACCAGCGCGAATCTTATGCACGGTTTCTTTGAGCACCTCTTCTTCGAAGGCTGCTTGGAGCGATTGGTTGCATTGCTCGACTGTGCCCTCACCACATACCGTCCTGTTTTCCCTTCGCCGCCATTGGTGCGCCTCACTACAGTAACAGCGGTTGTCGAGGTTTGGAGAACAACAAGAAGATCAAGGGACAGAGTGTCGCACCGCCACCATTGAAGTGAGGGACCATGCACATTCACAATGACATCTCTTCCGTGCATTACACCTGTGCAGGCTGCAATGCAACGCTTGTACTTTGAGACTTGGCTCAACGCACAATGCCCATGTACTGCCTGTCTAGACCTGCATGGTGGGCTTCAGTGCTCTGAATCAGGAAAGCCACCGCGCGTGCAATAAGCTGCGGGACGAGATCCTAACGAAGTGGCACAAGCTTGGACTCGAGGCCATCATCAACGATCAGAGAAAGTCAAGAACCGTCTTCAACACTGCTCGGTGCCCAAGGTCTCAGATGACAACCTCGCCGAGGAAGCAAAACGTAATCTGGCCTGTCCTTACACACACACACACAGATATATATATATGTATTGCACAGCATGAAAGAATGGCTGGT